CTGGACAGCAGCGCCTCAGACAATGTGCTTTTGTTTACGCGCTCCGGAGTCTTGTGCCAAACCCCTTCACGCACAAGTCCACAGATGGTGGCTGAGTGGGTGGGTGGTGCGCACTGTCCACGAGCTGCAATGTGCGTCTCTGTAATGGAGGAGAGGGGTAAAACTTGATGTTAAAAATACATTTTTAGTTGATGACTTATTGTAGGATATTTAACAATTTATTTTTATCATAATCCACACTGAAAAGTCCATGTACTTATAGAGTTAAACAAGATGATCATTGCAAACAAAGATCATTTTTCTCCTTTTTTTTATTTTTTTTTAGCTTCCATTGATTGTCTTCCCGTTAAATCAAGAATAGAGTTCAATTTCTACTTCTCTTATAAATATAGTTGTTCCTCACATTCATTAAAAGTAGAATAGGAGGAAGACATATTAAGCCCCGATGTGGAACCAATCAGTTTTAATCCATGAGGCACCATGTCTACATTTAATACTAAAACTTTCCTTTTAGTTAAAAGTTACAGTATAGTTAGATATGCTTAGTTTATCCTGAGTAATGCTGCTATAGGCTTATGCTGCCGGAGGACATAACTTCTTTCTTATTTTGCTAAAGTTTCCTATTACTCTCCAGTTTTGCAGCGTTGTCCAGCCACACTCATGACTAAACCCAATCTTACTAACTTGAATTTTTAATTACGCTGATTGTTGTTTTTTTTACAGTGCAGGATTTCCCCAAAATAAATACATTTAAAGAAAAGTTTAAACCAATGTGCATGAAATTAAGCCTGACTGCATTGTTTGATAATCAGGATCAACTGGAATGCATCGACTTTAAGTCTGTTGGTCTAATTTAATTTAATTAACTTTTTTTTGTTAAATTGATGCTATATGAATACACTTAATGTGATTTAATTTAGATAAACATAAGAATCAATTAGAGTTTCTGCCTTGGACTGCTCAACACAATAAGACAGAATAACAAAATACGACTTAATTTTCAAGTTTGATATTCATTGTTTTTCAATCTTGATATACCATTAATAACTTTATTCTTTTATTTAGTAATTATTTTGTGGCTATTTTATTTTTCTATTCTATTCCTGTCATGCACAGAGGACAGATGGACCCAGTATTCAAGGACAGTCAGTAGGAAAGTTCAAAACGTTTATTAAATAAACAAAACAAAAGCGGAGCTGTGGCTCGCGGACACTGCAGGATGGGGAGGGCGGGGCACCGCCCAATCACAGACACTCTGAAGTGGGAGAAACACAGGTAAGTGACCACGATCATCTAACAGAAGATGATCCGAGTTGGTCACTTACCTGGTTTAAGAGTCCAGACCAAGAATGTCCCCAATTGCTGCAGTCCCAGAGGTCATGCTGGAAGCCGATCCTGGTCAGGGATCCAGAACAGACGGAACAGGCAGAATCCAGATCAGGCAGGACCAGAAACAGGTGGCAGGATCCAGACTTCCAGGCATCCACAGGCTCCCAGGAGGGTTCAGAGTCTGACTGGGGCCAGAAGCATGACCAGGTGGTCATGCACAGGAGCAGACAGGATCAGGTGCAGACAGGCAGGCTCAGTGGAAGAGGGTAGCCGAGACAGGACGTAGGAACCTGAACTTGAAGCAGGACTTTAAACTGGTCTCCTCCCTGGAGCCAGGCTTACTGGATAAAAACTGAACCTCTCCACATATTGAGCCAAAAACCCAGAGGACTCCGCAGGGGAGGAACAGTGGACGATCAGGAGACGAGACAAACACTAAAACCCTCTTTCCACTGGCTGCTAGGATCCAGGACATGAACCAAGGCAAAAACTCAGACAAACAGACTAACAGAAAGACAAGTAATGATCTGGCGCTGAATGCTCAGGCTGAGCTGAACCCCGAGGAAACAGGTGAGAGGAATAAAATATAATTGAGGCAGGGAGGGAAAATGACAGGTGACAGGGATTACTAATTAAGGAGCAAACAGGCCAGATCATGACAATTCCGTTTTATTCTGAAAGTTCAGTCCTTTGCAAGCTATAAAAATTATTGTTTTTTCATCTTTATTTCCTTTGTTCCATTTGCTTAATTCAAAGAAAATGAAAGTTTAAATGATAAGCAATACAACTGATAACATTTCTGGTGTCTCATTCTTATAAACCTCTCTAGACAAATTGATAAGGAAGGTTACCCGCCAGAAGCTGAAGCCTTAAATAAAGGCTTAATTTTCATTCCCTCATCTTATTAAGTGTGGTTGGACAGCAAATGAAGGTTGACATATTTTCCTCATAGTTTGAAGCACAAACCTTTAGAGAAATAAGTAGAAAAAAAAAAAAGACCTGGTAGCTGAAAACAAAACTGTCAATTTTAAATTGTAAATAGTTTTTTAGGTTTGGTTTCCATGTCATTTAATAACATTTACAATAACATTCAAATTTTATGCTTGATCAATAAAGCTCTGCATTATTATTATTTTTTTTTAGAGTAACACAGAGACAGTATTACTCTGTGACAAGCGCCAAAACACAATAAATAAAGAACTTATGAAATAATTATTTAAAGATGTCATTTATTAAGTAAAGACAAAATATATTTAATACATAATATATTAAATAATATGGGCCTAAATTTAATCAATAAAGATATTGATTTTATCTTAAGAAACTAATCTGTCAGACATCCATGAATGACAAGGAGGCGGGACTAGAGCTGCTACCATAGAAACCCTGATGTCTGATTGGCTGCTTTATACAGCTCAAACAAAAGACACCTTCTCCTTTGTTTTCTTTTAGTCTAAAGTCAACATTTTCACAGAAAAAAGTTGTAAATATTTCCATAGCCATTTACTCAATCGCACTTAAATTCTGATTTCAGAAGTTAATAATTTAGTGCATTGTGGCACTAATCACCCGCCATATTTGTTACGTATAAATTTGGTTTTATTGCAGCTCTTGTTTCATGTTTATAAGGTTCCTTGTCTTTAATATCTTGCTCTGATCTAAAGCATCTGACTAGAATGATTAAGGTATGGTCCATACCTTAATCAGGGGCGGAGATAGAAGGGGGGCCATGGGTGGCCATGGCCACACTTAGCCATTCATTGGCCACCCCTACCATTTTCCCCTCTAATACAAGTGGAATATTCAAAACATTTAAATTATTTGTTGTTAATTATACACAATATACTAACGTCAAAGATGATAATTAATGCTCTTTTCAGAACTAGATGTTGTGTTATATGGGGTAAAGAGAAAAGTATTTAGTGAAATTATAGATAAACAACAATTTTAATAAAATAAAAACTGATCAAATAATCAATTTATGTAGATATTAGTGCTTGTAAATGTCAATTTTATACAGAATGTGTATTGATACAAGTAGGTAAGTAATAACAATGGAAAAGATTTACGCCCCAGAACAAAACATTTAAAGAGTTTTATTCATTATACCTTTCATTTAGAAATTACGGATGTTTAAATATATGTGTCTATTTGTTAGCAAAGGCTGTAGGAAAGTATAGTTTGTCTTTATTTAGAAAACATTGATCTTTTGCTGGGTAATTTTCCTGTTGAAACAGGGTAGATTGACCCCGAGGTTCTGGTACCTATCCGATTTCGGCCCCCGCTCAGTGCACATTGGTTATTACCTGGCCCCCCTTATAAAAATGTTCTGGTTACGCCTCTGGGTATGGAGGGATGGACAAATAGATGAATAAACAGATGGACTTTAATCCTTGCCTGAAAAAAATCAACTCGCAATGACAAAATGGAGAATTAAATCATTTGTAAGTAAATTATAAATAAGTGATAAAGTACTACAATGGTTAAATTAGATCAATCTTTTTGTTTTCATATTATTTTAAATATTAGGTCTAGTGGTGATTGTTTGCCAAGCCAAACATACAAGTAAAGTTCCAATTAAGTTTCTATATGCAGGCAAAAAGAAGTTTCACTGTCCAGTCTTGATGATCGTTCTCGATGGTTTATTTTCTATTTAAACCAACAATTAAAAAGTTCAAACTCTTGGTAAAAACCATAGGCCCCAAACCCAAAATGCCTGCTGGTCCTTTCCAGGCCCCTACACCTATAGGAAGTGAACTGATCCACGCCACTTCCTGTCATACTTCAGAACAAAAAATAAATAGGAAAAATAATAAAACAAAGAGAAATAGAATCAACAATTATTAACCTGCAAATAAACTCTGTAAATAATACAGAAAAATATAAATTTAGGAATTATTTAACACAATTCAAATAGATGAAGAAATAAAGAATAAATAGCTCCAACATTAAGTAGATTTGTCCTTCTCTTAAGCGCCAAGTTTGACTTTATGTTAGGTCCTTTGATTAAAATTTTACTATCAGAGGCATAGCCAGAAAATCCTAATAGGGGCAGCCAGTCAATAACCAAAGTACATTGAGGGGTGCCAGAACCTCAGGGTCAATCTACGCTGTTCCAACAGAAACGAGCACAAGATCCATATTTTCTAAATAAAGACAAACTATCATTTCCTACATCTTTGCTAACAGATAGACAGAGATATTTAAACACTTAAATATAATATAAACACACTCTTTTTTACTGATGCCACTGTCTGTATTAGAGGAAAAAATGTTAGGGGTGGCCACAGGGGGGGGGGCAATGATTGGTTAAGGGTGGCCAGGGGTGACCATAGCCCCCCCATCTAGCTCCGCCCCTGTTTGCTATAAAGTAACGGTTACATATTTGGCCACCAAATAAAGAGATTTGACAACATTTATACGTTCTCAAACCATAAAAAAAACATTTCAAGTAACTGGATGGTGGGTTCCTATCCCCCTCCCTCTTCCTGCAGTGAAAATCAGAGAAAGCGCCTCGTCTCATCTCTTCCTCATTATCCAATAGGAAGATCCGAGTTACGCATTCTTTCCCTCTCCCTACGTCACCGGCGTGGTCCCGCCACCCGGTTAATCTCATTGGAGGGCTCCTGCAAGCGCTGCGCGTTGATTGGCTGTAACGGGACGTCGCCGGAGGCACGTAGAGCGGAGCTTCCTGGGTTGGAGCCTGACAGTCCAGGCGACAGTTTGGTGTCCTGTCGTCTTTTGCATCACCCCGAGGGAGTCAATTTTCAGCCAGAACACAAGAAATCCTGTAAGTGTGCCCTATCTGGTGGGTTTCCCCGGAGTTTTATGTTGAGACATTTTGGATCGGAGGCAGAAAATTGGAACTATGCCTCCTATCTTGTTTTTTTTTTTTTTTTTTTTTCTGAGCTACGGAGCTTTGTGACTTGATCTGGTATTTTAACGGTGTATTCCTCCGATCTATTGATTGTTTTTTAAATGTATGATAGCCATAATATGAAGAATTATAGTTGGTTCCCCTTGAAATATAACCTAGCCTGGGTTCATGGCGTAATCCTCTGCAACGAGGTTATAGTTTAACAACTTCCTCATGTGTGTCCATTGGAAACAATGCCGATTGTTTGCTGAAACTATAATGAACCAGTTAGAGTCAATAACACACATGTCGCTCCTTAACAACTTTTAAAAACACTGGTTCTCCCTCTAAATGTGGTGAAAACTACATGAAGTTCGTTTTATCTTAAATAACTGTAAAAAACAGGGACTCCCCCTCCTCTGCTGACTAATAATTAGAGCAAACACAACCTATTTATAGCTACATTTTTCTTCCCAACTACACACTTCAATTCCCTTCCTCTGATGAAAAAAGATCCCCATAGCATGATGCTGCCACTGCTGCTGCTGTGCATCACCATTTGATGTGCATAGCTTGGTGAAACACTACTGTTGTAATTTACCTCTAATGTGTTTTATAGTTTTATTTAAATAAAACATGGGGATTGAAGACGGTGATGTTGAACGCTTTTCGTAAGATATGAAGTAGAAAGGTGTATTTCTTGGATGCCTTCCAGTTTTATCAAGCATCCCAGAGGATGAAACTGCACTTATGGTTGTTTCCGGAAACTGGAGATTCTCCCTTCACCACTGAGGGATGGTTAATAGCCCGTTATCAGCTGGAACACGATCATCTCTGGTGTACTTTTCCACAGGAAGGCGCCTATTTGTTTACATAGCTGGGCTCATGTACCGATTGTTACATTATGAGTAGTTATATTGACCCTTTAATGAAAAATTAGTGGGTGATTTTGGTTTTACACAGTAGAATTTAACTTTATTGATCTTACAATGGAAAAATTCACTTGTGACATTGACTCTTATAAACAACATAAGATGGCCAAAGGAGGAAAAGATGCATTAAGTACATACAATGCACCCAGATATATACAGTGGATGTAAAAAAGAGATTTAAGTTGACTTATATATACAGTATCTTATGCACAGTAAAGTGCGCTTTCTGGTTTGTTAAATAGATAAATGCTACGTTATAATATGATATTCATGCATAAATTCTTTTCCTATGTATTTACCGAATGCTGGAATGGGGTCATAGTCATCTGGTGACATTTAAATGTACAGCCGTGTGTCGTCTGCATAGAGGGAGGATGTAGATTTTGAGGGGACCAAAGATGGACCCTTGGGGAATGCCATGTGATTTTCTAATGGGAGTTAGTTTAGATTAGAGATAGACGGATACATACAGATGATATATTCGGCTGATATTCGTGTTGTTCTTCTTGAATCGGTAGCCGATAGTGCATATGCTCGCCGATTTATTAGTTCCTTTAACAGCCATGCTGAGATCATGTAGGGTGAAAGCGTTACCTCTCCCCTTTGTTTGATTTGCTATTAATAATTGTTTTATTTTTGTCATAAATGGAGGAAGAAAAAGCCCCATCATGCTCCACCCAAAATTCGGCAGCCAATATCGAGGAATGGTCGGTATCGGCCTTGAAAATCTGAATTAGTTGATCTCTATTTTATATACCTAAACTGTTATAACAAAGGTGTATGAAGACGGGTCTTTTGCTTAATAATCAGTTTACTGGGCCTTAAATATGGAACATATTGTAACTTTCTTTTTTCTTGGTGAAAAGTCAGATGAAAAATAGCCATACTGTGGATAAGCGCAGTAGTGATGAGTTTCGCCCAAATTGCTCCCTGACATTTGGTTGCGTTTATTAGGATGCATGAGAATCTGCCTTGATGTGCGGCGTTCCCTGGACACATACATCCCAGCCGCTCTACAGTAGTATGCAAATCATCTCAAACCTACTCCCGCCCCGATCAATCCTGCGTCCCAGAGGTCCACTGAGGTTTGCCGTTACGAAAAAAAAACATGAAAAGTCTAACTCTTTCCCTCCCTGTCATCTTCCACCACAGGGCTCATGGCGTTCAGGAAGGCCCTGAGACGGACGGCGGTGGTAGGAGGCGGGGTGGTGGCTGCGGGCTTCGGCCTGTCACAGTTCTTGGAGTACAGGAGGACCCAGGTGAGCTCACCTTAGGGAGGAATGTTCTCCCTCTATTAAGGAGCCCCTAAGCTGGGAGGGCAAGTCCAGTCTGGATGATGGAATGTTGTCTGGTTCTAGGTGTGTCGCTTTGTTTTGGGAATTTCCTCTGCAGATGTACAGAGCACACTCCGGGTTCAGGGTGTAAACCCTCCCTGTTGAGCCTTTCAAAGTAAAGGTCAACTAACTGGATCCAGTTCATTTGAGTATTAATCTCCTCTCTTTCAGTGTTAGAAGAGTTCTGGAAAGGTTTCGCCCCTAACATGAAAATTCTTACTGCTCTTCAAAGTGGAAATTATTAATAATTTCCCCAAATCTTTCTTTTTTTAAAATTTGTTTTTAAATAGGCTGATGTTAATAACAGGGAATACTTGCGCTGTGTAAACAGAGTCTAGTTGTTTTGTTAACAACAAGCTTAAACTGCAGTAGTCTTTATATCAGTGGAACTTTTTTCACGTTTCATTGCATTTGGAACCTCAAACTCCGGAGTATTTCTGACGGGATTTTAATCTTAAAACCTAAAAACTAGGTCCGCTGTCCTGATCCTCTCAGATTAATCTCTGCTAGTCATGTCTTTAGCAGGTCTCTGGAGAACAGGGCTGCATACAGAGGAGGGAATTCCAGTGTGTCGGACCGGGAATATATATAAAAATTCTAGACTTCAGAGTTGACACTCGAAGTCTAGTATTTGTCATCCCTGATTTAAATCAATGAATACCTGATGTTGCCTTCAGACTGAATGTGTTTAGACAGAAAACTGGAAGCTTGTGAACTTTTTAGGAGCCACCCTGTTTGTTTTCCTTGATACGTCTAAATGGTGGAGGCAATAGAGAGAGAAGTTTAGCTTTGTTTTGCAGGAGAAGGTGGTCTGGATTCACCTGTAGCTGAGAGACTTTTAGACTTTAGTCCATTCCACGTTTTCTCCCAGAGCTGTGTGCAAATAAGTGTCGTTTCCTGCATCATTTTCGTCTTTCCAAGGCCCAGTTTGATTACTATGGAGTCAATTTACTTCCATCATTGTTGCAGAGAGCCGGCTTTGGAAACAGAAACTGGAAAACAATATAATCCAGAACTGAAACTGAATAGTTTCTTATTAAAAAGGGTTTTGAGAGTAACTTTGCTGTTTTTGTTTTTTCAAAAGAAAATACTTTTGTTTTTATATAATTTATAAAAAATTCTTAAAATGAAGTTACAAATGTAGATTTTTTTTGTCATTTCTGTTTTCCGGATTGAGTTTAGGACTTTCTTTTTAAATTGCGTTTTACAGAGAAGACTCTTCACTTCTTGCTGATACAGGCTTTATGGAGTAAATTTTGTTCCAATATTGTTGCAAAGGGCACGTTTTGTAAATGGCATTTTGAATAATATATATATAAAAATATAAAAAGAAATTCCAATCCATAAAATAAATGCACTTCTTATTTAAACAAAGGTTTTGAGATAAGAATCTATCTTTTCACTTTTTAGTTTTTCAATTTTTTTTCAAATTTTAGCTTTTCTGTTTATATTTTATGAATTGCATTCTTTTAAAATAGTTTTTTTTTACATTTGGTTTGTTTGAAGCCCAGTTACAAAAAAAAAACACTAGCTTTTGACTTACAAAAGATGTTCCTGCCAACGTTCATGAAGACCAATAGAAATGCATCTTTACTCCTCACTTGTGAAATTCGGAACGATAACTTTTCAAAACAGCAAAAGTTACTCTCAAAATCTTATATTTTTGATAAATAACTTTTTTATATATAGTTTGCTTTCTCGATTGATTTTTTTTCTTTAATTTCCATTCAGAAAATGTGTTTATTGCTTGTAACAATAATGGAACCAAATTTACTCCGTAGTCCTCGGGTGCTTCTGATCTCTCAGGATTCCCAGATAATTCAGAGGCGTTCAGAGTTTAGTGAATTCCATGTTTCCTTCAGAATCTTATTTTTCTCTCCTTCGGATCCAGTTTGATGACCTACTGACCTGCGTTGGCACCCCAATCACATACCAAGAAATCAGCCACGCATTCAACTTTCTAAACTTCTGGTTTTCAAACTCCCGCCGTTTCGGACGCACAACGCCTGGAGGGTGAAATGCCTCGACAGAAGATTAAACCTCACGATATCAGCTATAAACCGCACTTAAACCAGATGCACCTCTAATTACATTCGGTCTGAATGTTATGGAAGAGTTAGAGTGGCCTAGTCAAAGCCGTAACCTAAATCCAAAAAGGAAACTACTACAAGATGTGAAACCTGAAGAGATGCTTCCCAGTTTAAGAAGATTTTCCTTTTTCCTGCAATCATTTAATTAGTAAAAACTAAAATATACATTAAAGATCGAGTGAAGGTTCTTGTTGAGGTGTTTAGAAGTCGTCTAATGATCCTCGCACACATCGTCTACTCGGGGACAAAAATAACCCCAACGGCCAGACTTCAAGCAGCTGTTTGCTCCTCTTATTTTAGATGTGAGACATAACTTCAGACTTTATTGGTCTCCTCCAACCTAACCTGAACTTTGTGTTTTGTGTCCCGGTGGGATAATGTCCTCAACTCTGCCATCGCCGTCCTCTCCAACAAGCCCGGATTGGTAAGCAAGAAGTCCACCCTGATGACATCCGATGATTTCTATTTATTTATTTTTTCATGAATAGTTTGTAATCATGCATGCCTTCTAATCCCTGCAATTGCACTGCTGATGAGCTGAATGTCCGTCTTGTCTCCTTCAGTCGGGGCATGTGGCTGAGGGAAGTTTTCAAAGCGGTCCAATTGGCTATTAGCTTCGCCCCGCCGTCCTCTGACTTAACCTGATTACCGGCGCTTCATTGTGTGACCGAGCATCAGTGGAAAAAAAAAGAGACAATGATTATATCATAGGCAAAACCTAAATTACAAACGCCCGCCGCCATTTGACTTGCAAATGGCGCTGGTGGCCTCAAAGCAGCTTGATGCAATCATTTAGCGCAAGCTGCTGAGTAGAAAGCTGAATAAATATTTCATTAGAGGTGAAATTCTTCTACTGTAGCTGTGATTATTCCTTTAAATTAATTACCCTTCTAATCAAACGTTGGTGAGCGGCATGGTGTAGCAGCCACGACGTAACCCCTCTGCACTTTTCTAACTTTTCTTTCCCACTAACGTGTCCCTGAATGTGTCGGGCTTTTCTTCGGCAGCACTTTCACTCGCTTACTAAATATCATTATAAGCACAGATAGGCTTCTTTTTAACCAATATAGCTGCTCAGAAACACATATTTCTAAGGTACACCTTATCTTTTCTTGTTATTAATATAGTTTGTTTCATTTATTGTATTGTATACCTGATATAAGCTGATAATTGCAGGGTGAAATCAGCTGTAGTCGGTCAGCTATAATCTGCTCTGACCTTATAAACCTGAGTGTTTGCCTTTAGAGGAATAAGTCTGTTGGATGTGAACCTCCAACAAATTGCAAAGCACTCCATCGTTCAACCTGGGACAAACTGACGGAGCCAAAGCTGCCTTACACTACAGGCCTTGTTACCAACAGCAGCAGGAAGAAGAGGAAGGATGTCCTGCCCAAAGGCACTGTGACTGAGACGGACTGATCTCCATCCATTGGTCCGTCCGTCCATCCATCAATGAAACATTCTCCATGAGCCTCAAAGAAAGGCATACATGACACACCCTGACTAAGATACTTCTATCCAACTTAACTGACTGTCTGAGTCTGTGTCACTACACTGAACCTTTTATGTTTCTCCATGAGGTCTGAGCCCGTCCACATGCAACCATCCATCTCCAACTTCTTCCGTCCATCACTAGTGAGCAATACTCAAAGATTCTGCAACTTTTTGGCTAAGTTAGCAGACTTGGAGAAGCTGGTTGATTCACATTCAGATGAAAACTTCAGTATGTATCTGCTCATACTAAAGTTCGTGACCCAAATAGAACCTTTATAGTTTCCATAAAGGACCCAAATTAGACTCTGTCTTGTTTATAGCTATGTGGGTCAAGATTTTATCCATCATCAAACAAAGTGTTCTGGATGAGTTTAACAAGTCAGCTCTGTTAGTTCTGATTGATGTTAATCCTGGTGCAGTTTTCCCAAACACACCATACATGTCCTTACATGTTGTTCACTAAACAAGACAAACCTTAACCAGACAATTAAACTTCCATATAAGTAGTTCCACAAGGATAAGGATAGGGTCCAGTGTTCCATGGGGAGAATAAGGTCGTCATTACTTTAGGAAAGACTAATTATTCCAGGTTTTGTAGGCAAACAAGATAAAAACATATGATGGATTTCTAACATAGAACAGAAATTAAAGCTGTGTGTCCAACCTTGGAAACTGATGGTGGTGTTTCATGGCATGGGCAGGATTTTCCTTTCGTTTATGTTGTCTAACTGGGGGAATAAATTATAATCAATGGACGTTTTCTGGATTGTTGCTTTATATTAACTCAAAAGTGTCCATGTGATCCACTGTGGTGGTGGGGGTATCATGGTATGGGCTTTTACTTTTGCTTTTACTTTGGAACAATTTAATATGTGTTAGTCCACAACCCGACTTAGATTGTAAAGAAAAAGAGTAAAACGTCCTGTGTAATTCACTTAACTTATATACCGCCATTTCAAAACATATGTCTTCTCAAGGCATTTTACAGAGTCAATTCACTGAGATCATCCAGTCAGATTGGTTCAAAGTTTTCTATCTAAGGAAAACCAGCGGATTGCATTGACTCAAAGGCAATCCCTCACACGAAGCATGCTTGTAGCGACAGCGGAGAGGAAAAACTCCCTTTTAACAGGAAGAAACCTCCAGCAGAACCAGGCTCAGTGTGAGCGGCCATCTGCCGAGGCCGACTGGGGTTAAAGGAGACAGAAGCAGAGATACAAAAGGTAACCGCCAGCTCCACAGGTGGCCCCGTCCAGGAAACACACAGCCAGGCAGATGAGTTTTGAGCTAGCTTCCTGGTCAGAGGATGAAGAGAGGACTTAGAGTTGGTCACAGAGAAACAGGACTACACTGAAAAACAGGCCAAACTCCAACATCTATAAACAAAGGTAGTAGCACAGCTTATATCTCCCTCCAGGATGGAGTCACAGCCAAACTGGAATGCACCGGATGAAGCTACTATGAAGAGAAAAAGCAGAAAGGACATGAAGTTAGAGGTTCGGCTAATAAATACTGCAAAATGGGAGAATAAAGATAGAATGAAGCAGAACAATGAAAATGGGTTATTTCTTGCAGTGGTCCAAGCCTATAGCCGCATAACTATAGAGAAAGCTCTTGATAACCTTTAGAGAAAGAATCAGAAGGAACTCTCCAACATTCTGCAGTTGACGATCTTCATCCAGCGGGAGAAGGAGAATTTCCTAAACCTGATCTTTATTAGTCATCCAAACATCCAAAACATATTTAGTTTGAGCCACAACCAATGTCCCCACGTGGCATTGTCTCCATGTGCCATCACCCCAATATGGCATCATCCCTATATGGCATTGTGGGGTAAATTCATTGTCTTCAACCCAAGAGGACCTGGAGTTTGCATCCAACCTTAAAAGACTGCAAGTCTGTCAAATCCACTGCCAAATAATAGATCCACTGAAAGGAATTGCATTCTGATACTAAAATTGAAGGTTTACAAACTTTTCCCACTCACTAAGGAGAAAAAATGTTAAAGTTGAGAACTCACTGACTAAAGAGATATAACCCAACCAAAATATGTGCTACATCAGATGTTAGTTCACTGACTAATTATGATGCCAGAATAAAGGACCTACAGCGTGCTTATAATGTTTCAGAGCTTCTCAGGCAAAGTGTTGCTCTGCCTTCTTACCTTTATCTGCCCTGTCTATGCAATACAGATTCAGTTTAAGAGACGAAAGCCATCACAATGGTTGTATTCATTAACTTCCATATGTTGTTTCCAGGCTCGATTGGCTCACGTGGCAGCCGAGGCAGAGCTGAAGGTCCCTTTCGTGGACGAGCTTCCTTCCAGGGAGACCCAGCTTGCAACTCTGCGAGACACTCCAGAGTTTGATGTTCTGGTTGTAGGAGGGGGGGCCACAGGCGCCGGATGTGCCTTAGATGCCGTCACCCGCAGTAAGCCCACAACTGCCTCTACTGGTTGGCTCAAATGTATGAAATCCAGCTTTTGACGAAGTATTCTCTTACACCCTGGTGTCATTCCTTCCTCAGACCTCAAAACTGCTCTAGTAGAAAGAAGCGATTTCTCTTCTGGGACAAGCAGCCGGAGTACAAAGCTCATCCACGGTGGAGTTCGTTACCTCCAGAAGGCTATAATGCAGCTAGACTATGAACAGGTTCGTTCCCGTTCCCCTTCCCTCTGGATTTGCAGCTCCTTTTTCAAACGTCGTCTCACCTTGCCTGTTATTTACGGTGGTCTTAGTACATGATGGTAAAAGAGGCTTTGCACGAGAGAGCCAATCTGCTGGAGATTGCCCCTCACCTGTCAGCACCATTACCCATAATGCTTCCTGTTTACAAGTAAGAATCTAAACCCCTCAAAAATAAACAAAAAAACACTTCTTCACGCCTTTGGTCTTCATACGTATGCGGTCTTAATTACAGATGGTGGCAGTTGCCTTACTACTGGGCAGGAATAAAGATGTATGACTTGGTGGCTGGGATCTACTGCTTGAAGAGTAGCTACGTCCTGACGAAGTCCAAAGCCTTGGAACATTTCCCAATGCTGAAGAAGGACAAGCTGGTAGGGGCCATCGTATACTATGATGGTGAGTACAGGCTCCGTTTCCCTCACCATGTTTGGTAGTTTTATTCGAACAAATAAAGGGCAGCTGTGTCAGATTTCCCATATTAAAGTCACTCAAGAGGTTTTCTGTCAGATTTATCTGTGGACTCTCACCAGGCCTTACTAAAACTCAAATTCTGTTCTGCTGAAGTCATTCTTTGTTGATATAACTTTGATTTTCTTGCAGACACTTAAAGGTTTTGGGTCAAAAAAAGAAAAAGACGTTTTATCTGCAGATCACTCAGGTTTCATTGACTAGTTTGGATAGAACAGCTTTTGTGATCCCTTTCATTTTAGTTGATAATCAGATTTTAGAAGAGAATCTCAACACAAGTAGTAGTAGTAGGAATTTCCATATCCTTCCCCTCCTCCATCAGATGCTCTGACGGGATGAATTGGGGGGAAGGGAAGTGCAGGCTGGTGGAGGATTGGAGCGTCTTTTCTCCAATTATTCCGTCTGGAACAATCACGCCCGTGACATTAAGAAACCTGACCTTCTCTTCCGGCGCTGCAGAGGAGCGTCGCGATGGTCTGCCGGAACGACAAGGCGGCAGCAGCTCTCTCTCCTGCCACTGCCAACAGCAGACCTTTATTTTACTCTCACCAGAAACTGGTCAAGAAACATGTATTCCTCTCAAACCAAATCACCTTAGATTTATGCCTAGGTTTGCATTCAAAACGCCAATGGTTGTTAATCAGCAGAGCGTACAGCTGGGCTGAAGCCCATCTCAGACAGACATCTGGGTTTTTTTGTTAAACTGTCAAGGAAACAAGAATACTTCACATGACAATCATCATAAATGACTTTTAATTAGAGGATTTTTCATGCAGTGTTTGGATTTGGTCAGTATGGACCCTGATAAGAAGAAAAATTATTCCTGGTTTCTTCTCTTCAATCAGACTAATCAATAAACTGCTGCATTGGGGCTAAAAAGTATCTATCTTTAGCTGGGTTAAGTTTTTTCATGAACCGGCCTGGTTGTTTTAGGATTTACAGTATTTCATCATTTGTTATCATTCCATCGGACCTTATCAGTGGAGGAATTTGAGGTCCTAACATTGACTGGACCAGTGCCACCCTTTGATGCTGTCATTGAGATTACTGTTCTGTTAATGACCCAGATCTGGACCAGCTTCAGCTGTCAGACAGCTGTACCTTCATAATAAAACAAAGCCCAAAATGAAGCCAGAAGTCAAAACAAAGTAAACAGACCTGGGTAAATTCTCGTTCAGATACGGAAACTACAAAACAGATTTAAATCGGTGGCAAACGGAGGTGCACTGAGTTTTTCTGAAGACATTTCGACTCCTTTCCAGGAGTCTTTGTCAGTTCTGTCGGTTCATACTAAAGTCAGCTGTAGTTGGAATGCTGATCCTTTTAGTAACACAGAGGTCCCTCCAAGCTCATTCCAAGTCAAATGCAAATCAAAGACCCTCCTGTGGTTCTTCTGGGTTGTTGAAGTCTGTTATGTTTTTGGCAATTTGAATTATGATGTGTAATTTCTTTGGAATGAGTGAAGAGAATACAGTTATGAGTTAAATGAGTTAAATGACCAAACACCTAAGTCGGACACAACAAAATACATCAGAAACCCTGGAGAATGATGGCTGGGTATTTGATTTGAATCTGACTTAGAATGAGATTAGTAGGCTGGCCATCCGTGTTGTTTAAACATTAAGCAATTTAACTTCAAATTGCCTGGATAGGTGTAGAAAGTTTGGTTGCTTTCAATTTGCATTCCATTCTTTTCTGTTTTTATTGGAAAAAAAATAAAGTAATAAACCAGTAACAGGAGTAAGTCTGGACGAAAGTAAACCAAAAAAACCTTTTGAAAAAGAGACCAAAAGTCAGTCAAAAGCTGAATGTAACTACAATGAAGCTCAAAGAGAGATTCTGTGGCATTAGAATAAACCTAGATCATTAAACCCCACCACCGTGCTTGATGCTGAGAGTAGTGGATTCTTGCCCTTGAAACACTTCCTAAAATGAAAGATGGCAGCAGCTGCCTTTTAAAGCTCATTTTGGTATTGTGTTAACACTAGTGTTGCGCCCGTGCCATTTTTTGGCCCCGATATCGATACCCAACACCTGGTTGTTTAGTGTTGGCCAATACCGATACCATCTGTTTGAAATTGATGTGTGTGTGTATATACAGGTGCTGGTCATAAAATTAGAATATCATGAAAAAGTAGATTGATTTCAGTAATTCCATTTAAAAAGTGAAACTTGTATATTATATTCATACATTACATACAAACTCATATATTTCAGATGTTTATTTTGTTTAATTTTGATGATTACAAATGACAACAAATGAAAATCTCAAATTCATCATATCAGAAAATTAGAATATTACTGAAGACCAATAAAAACAAAGGATTTATAGAAATGTTGGCCAACTGAAAAGTATGAACATGAAAAGTATGAGCATGTACAGCACTCAGTATTTAGTTGGGCCTCCTTTGGCCTGTATTACTGCAGCAATGCGGCGTGGCATGGAGTCGATCAGTCTGTGGCACTGCTCAGGTGTTATGATAGCCCAGGTTGCTCTAATAGTGGCTTTTAGCTCTTCTGAATTGTTGGGTCTGGTGTATTGCATCTTCTTCTTCACAATACCCCATAGATTTTCTATGGGGTTAAGGTCAGGAGAGTTTGCTGGCCAATTAAGAACAGGGATACCATGGTCCTTCAACCAGGTACTGGTAGCTTTGGCACTGTGTGCAGGTGCCAGGTCCTGTTGGAAAATGAAATCTGCATCTCCAAAAAGTTGGTCAGCTGCAGGAAGCATGAAGTGCTCTAAAACTTCCTGGTATGTGGCTGCGTTGACCCTGGACCTCAGAAAACACAATGGACCAACACCAGCAGATGACATGGCACCCCAAACCATCACTGACTGTGGAAACTTTACACTGGACTTCAAGCAACGTGGATGAAGTGCCTCTCTTCTTTTCCTCCAGACTCTGGGACCTTGATTTCCAAAGGAAATGCAAAATTTACTTTCATCAGAGAACATGACTTTGGACCACTCACCAGCAGTCCAGTCCTGTTTCTCTTTAGCCCAGGCAAGACGCTTCTGACGCTGTCTGTGGTTCAAGAGTGGCTTGACACAAGGAATGCGACAGCAGAAACCCATGTCTTTCATACGTCTGTGTGTGGTGGTTCTTGAAGCACTCACTCCAGCTGCAGTCCACTCTTTGTGAATCTCCCCCACATTTTTGAATGGGTTTTGTTTCACAATCCTCTCCAGGGTGCGGTTATCTCTCTTGCTTGTACACTTTTTTCGACCACATCTTTTCCTTCCCTTCGCCTCTCTATTAATGTGCTTGGACACTGAGCTCTGTGAACAGCCAGCCTCTTTAGCGATGACCTTTTGTGTCTTGCCCTCCTTGTGCAAGGTGTCGATGGTCGTCTTTTGGACAACTGTCAAGTCAGCAGTCTTCCCCATGATTGTGTAGCCTATAGAACTAGACTGAAAGACCATTTAAAGGCTTTTGCAGGTGGTTTGAGTTAATTAGCTGATTAGAGTGTGGCACCAGGGGCCGTCAATTTTGAACCTTTTCACAATATTCTAATTTTCTGATATGATGAATTTGAGATTTTCATTTGTTGTCATTTGTAATCATCAAAATTAAACAAAATAAACATCTGAAATATATGAGTTTGTATGTAATGTATGAATATAATATACAAGTTTCACTTTTTAAATGGAATTACTGAAATCGATCTACTTTTTCATGATATTCTAATTTTATGACCAGCACCTGTATATGAAGAACTGCATACTGCTTGGATGTAAAATAATTGCCATCATGGCTTTGTCAAGCTGCTGCCTGCCTTTGTGAAGCAGGAAAAAGACTAATACAAAGTGAATCCAGTAGAACATTTTATTGCCTACCTGGAATGGGTGACAATAGCTCTCAAAATGGTATCGGTGCCTTATTTGTCGATACTCGCCGGTACCTATACCACCATTTTATTTCTGGATCGGGGTCCTGTCCAATACTGGTATGGGTATCGGTGCAACACTGGTTAACACACACATATGATATAGACCAGCAAGCAGCCGAAACTCTGCATGTTGTAGAAGGTAGACAAAAACACCAGTCACTGTTCTGTGAGAGACCCGCATGACCTTATCAGCCAGGTGTACAGCCGGTGCATAAGGTACAATGGAGGACTCCACCTTCTCAGTACAAAGACTGTGAAACCTCTGAGCTAATTAAGTCAAGGTTGTGTCTTCTGGCAGAAGAGAGGTGAAGTTGGGTGTATGAGCCTGACAGGGAGGTTATTCAGGTTTTTCCAATGGTATGTTACATGTAAATGAACTGTGTTTTGGCTCAAAACTATTTCAAAAGTTTGTCCCTTTACAGCTAAAAATGGTGAGAAATGTAAATGAACTACACACACATATATATCAGTAAAGTTTAAATGTAAGATCTTCCTCATATATTGTTTTCACATAATTAGAAACCTTATTTAGAAAAAGATTGGACATATGCATTGTAAAAAATATGAATTAGTGTAATCTAGTGTAATCTTTTTTTCAGCTTTAGTAACTGTAAGGTTTGTAGACAGGCAGAAAGCTTGTGGACTTAAACCTTGTGGCCAGTGAAGCATAGAAAACGCACCAAAAGAATAAAATCAGACTGGATCGAAAGATTGTAGAGCTGTTTTTTTAGATATATTTGCAAAACAAAAAACAACTTACATTTGAAAGCAGAGGAACAGGGGTTCCACTTTCTTCAGTCACAGCAGAAGCGCCAAGAAAAAAAGACACACCCACATTTGAGCAACCCAGCTTTCTAAAGCATCAGTCTGTACCATCTCTAATAAAAGGGCTGGAAACTTTGATAACATTTACATTTTTTGTTTGGGAAGCAATCAACTAAATTAAACCTCTCGAGGGAATTTTTTTTTACAATTAAATTCAACAAAATGAAGCTAAACAATACTACAAAATCCAAGCAAAACCCAAAACATCTCTCTTCCCTCTCAGTTAGCATGGATTTTCCTTATGAGGCTTATTTGAAAAACCAGGTCCTTGTCAGCCCTGCTCATTGGCATGCGTGGCAACCACTGACCAGGTGACCTCAAAGAAAAAGAGAGATAGTGGTGAGAACAACAACAACAAAAAAAGTTCTTACAGTTACATCAATAAAGACGACTTAAACCTTCTGCCAATTACTAAATTTTTCAATGGACAGAAAATGCCTGTTTACAACACCTATAAGGCTGGAGAGGTGTTAGCGTTTGTAGCTCATAATGCTCGTAATAGAACAATGATTTTCTTTAACCATAATATTAAGATTGCAGAGGTTACTAAGAAACGTTTTATTAAAGCTCATTATTAAAGGAATAGTACACCCAAAACATGATTAGCCTTCATTTTCTACTCACCCCCATGCTGAACAACACTCTGGAGTACTTTTTTGATATCTCAAATGCATCTGGAGATCTGGGAGGCTTCTTGCTGTCTGCTGACATTCAAATAATGGAGGTCTATGGTGCCCGAGACAGAAAGGTCCATAAAAGTCCACAAAAAACGTGTCAATATTCCTCCATACTGCTCGTCCAATGTATTCCAAGTGTCCTGAGTGGGTAGCATCCAGAATTTACTCGAAACAAAGTCATTTAGAATGTTTTTAGAGCATAAACAGTAGTGTATAGGATTTCCTGAAAGCGCGTTCACGACGCTACGGAAACCGCGGCAGACCAAACCAGATGAAAGTGCGCATTGAGCTCAGCAAAGAACTCATGCTCTTCCTCAACACTGAAGTCCTCAGACATTTTTCTTTCGTTGTTTCTTTCTTTGCACAGGTAAACAGCACATTTCTTCTTCTACGCTTGCATTATTGGCAGAGCAGACGCTGAATGCGCACTTTCATCTGGTTTGGTCTGCCGGCTTCCGTAGCGTCGTGAACGCGCAGGTGCGCGCTTTCAGGAAATCCTATACACTACTGTTTATGCTCTAAAAACATTCTAAATGACTTTGTTTCGAATAAATTATGGACGCTACCCACTCAGGACACTTTGAATACATTGGACGAGCAGTATGGAGGAATATTGACACTTTTTTTTTTTGACTTTTGTGGACCTTTCTGTCTCGGGCACCATAGACCTCCATTATTTGAATGTCAGCAGACAGCAAGAAGCCTCCCAGATCTCCAGATGCATTTGAGATATCAAAAAAGTACTCCAGGGTGTTGTTCAGCATGGGGGTGAGTAGAAGATGAAGGCTAATCATGTTTTGGGTGTACTATTCCTTTAAGCCCTGGAAGGGCTTCTATAACATAATTTTTTCCCCAGCTGGCTGCATTTTTTATTCCTTTTTTGTTAAAAATAAAGTTTCTCTGTCACATTCATGGTTATCTGATTGGTTCTAAACTATTTCTAATTGTGGGTAACTGGTCGGGTCTCTGTTCTGAACTCTACGGGTGTGGGTGGATACAGTTTTGAAAAATCAGACCTGCGCAGGACCCTGAGGTGGACCCCATTTCTAGGTGAGACCTTGTGATTGGTTAATTCAGATCCATATATAGAAATTGTATTGAATGGAAACAATCTACACTAATTTTAGTCATGATGAGGAAACTGAGGCAAGTAAAAATGTCACACCAACGTACCTCATTTGAATGCTTATCATTTTGATTTGCTTATTTTCCTGTTTACTTGCCATGCCGGCTGTTTTTAGTAAAATCTGCACACTTGCCTGTGGGGATTATACTAAGATTGACTGCTTGTGTAAAGCGGTTTGATTTGCAAAACAAACACAGCGGTGGTATTTACATGAAAAACAAAAACGAGTGTTGATGCAGTGATGCTGTCCCCGTCTTGTGACGGTGCAGTGATGTAAATGTCTGTCCAATTTGTGATACTGATAAATCAGGAAAACTTGGTATACCAATGAATGCCAGTTTGTTGGCCTTCAAAGATGGTGCATGCAGTAGAAAGCGGACAAATGGCTCCTCAATTTTGAGGCAGTGACCAATCTGAGGGTTTTGACACACCCAAATTATCTCGAACACAGAGCTTCATTTTGGCCATACCTACATATGGAGTTACTAGACAGATGCAAAGATACATAGACTGATAGAGTGGGTGTTGGATACACAGATGAAGGGGTGGATGTGTGGACAGTAACTATCTGGTGGATCAGTGGATGCTTTGAGTTAATTAATGGAGAACCTTATTTATTTTGCCTTTGTCCTCGTCATCAGGACAGCATAACGATGCCCGAATGAACCTGGCCATTGCGCTGTCTGCCGCTCGCCATGGCGCGGCCGTTGCCAACTACACAGAGGTTGTCCGCCTTCTGAAAACCAAAGATCAGCAGACTGGCAAGGAGAAAGTGTGCGGCGCCCGCTGCAGGGACATCATCACAGGTGAGGGCTCCAACCTCTTCCCCAGTACCCCCGATTGATTCAACCCTTTAGCTCCAAGCTCTTTCCTCAGACGGGTTTTGGAGATGATGACATTGTTATTTCAGGAAAGGAGTTTGACGTGAGGGCCAAATGTGTGATCAATGCCACTGGACCCTTCACTGACTCTCTGAGGCAGATGGACAAACAGGAGATCTCCAATATCTGCCAGCCAAGTGCGGGGGTCCACATCGTCATTCCGGGATACTACAGGTACCCGCAGAAACACGACGCTTGTTGCTGTTTCATATGCATTAACCTGTCCACGTTTGTCCCTTTGTTTTCTCATTCCCTTCTGCAAATAGTGGAGGAGCCTAACTATCACCTGACCTTAGCTTAGAGTTGAACACAATCTTCTCAGGTTGAGAAACGGCTCAGCAATAGAGTGGTTTTGTTGAAGTGGGAGGCTTTAAAGTTCAGCTAAGCTTATTGAGTAAAACCCGAGGGAGCACTAGCCCTTTGAACACAAATGCCAACCACCTCATTTTCTTCTTCATCTTTTGCGCTCACCTCACCCTGCCCCCTCATATCCGTACCTCCCTCCTTCTCTCATCTTTTATGCCATGTTGTCCTTTATTTTCCCAACTCTGTCGCATTAAAAATGTTCAAACCTTCCTCCATTCAGCCCTGACAACATGGGCCTGTTGGATCCAGCCACGAGCGACGGCCGTGTCATCTTCTTCCTGCCCTGGGAGAAGATGACCATCGCTGGGACCACCGATTCACCCACCAACGTAACAGCCCACCCCATTCCAGGGGAAGACGACATCAACTTCATCTTGAGGGAAGTTCGCAACTATCTCAGCCCAGACGTGGAAGGTATTGGACTCGGCTTATATTGTTTCTACAGCAGTGACTACCTGAATAGTATACAACTCTGCTTCATTTTCAGTGCGGAGGGGAGACGTGCTGGCAGCTTGGAGCGGCATCCGCCCCTTGGTGACCGATCCCAGCTCCAAGGACACCCAGTCAATCTGCAGGAACCACATAGTATCCATCAGTGACAGTGGGCTGGTCACTATTGCAGGTCTGCTTGGCCACCATTTGGAAAACTCCACTGAAACGAATGTGTTTGTCTAACTCTGAGCTCTGTGTATCCAGGTGGGAAGTGGACGACCTACCGATCCATGGCAGAGGAGACTCTAGATGAAGCAATTAAATCCCACAGCCTCTCAGCTCAACCTTGTAGGACTGTGGGTCTGATGCTGGAGGGGGCCAAGGGCTGGACCCCAACCCTCTACATCCGTCTGGTGCAGGACTACGGCCTGGAGAAGGAGGTACGACATTGATGTTTTCCCCTTTTATTGAGCAGATGAACCTTTGAAGAGTTTTATAATCGTCTCTGTACTGAACATCAGTTTAGAGCTTCTAAAAAGGGATTTTCCATTACTTTTTCTTCAAAGTACTGCTCTTTGGAGTACATTTACCTCTAAATTTAAGAGTTTGATCAGGATGGGAGTTTCACATTAAACTTAAATGTATTCCAGATGCGTGGTGAAAGATCAGTCCTCTACTCGTACAACGCTGTTAGCAATGCAATTACTTTTCCGTGTATATCCATTTTATGTATTTATTTTAGACAGGAGCATTTGATTTCAAGTGTAAAATGTGTTTAAAAAAACTCTCAACTGTAACAAACTCCATTAAAGCTAACAACTGGTCAAGTAACGGTTAGTTTAATTAAAAGAAATACTAATTAATGGCTGCATAATGTAGTCTAAATAATAAACTAAAAGCTAATGCCTCTCCAGCAGTCAACAACCAAAGCTACCGCCACAACAGCAACCAAAGCTACCGGCATTCCAGCCATCACTGACTAAAGGGCGACAGTGGCGTTGGATGTAGGATGTAGGAGTTTGCCCTGTAATCGGAGGGTTGACGGTTCAAGCCCCGACTCCGACTTTCATTGTCGTTGTGTCCTTGGGCAAGACACTTCACCTGCATTGTCTACTGATGGTGGTCAGAGGGCCCGGTGGCGCCAGTGTACGGCAGCCTCGCTTCTGTCAGTGAGCCCCAGGGCAGCTGTGGCTACAATGTAGCTTGCCACCATCAGTGTGAGAGTGTGTGTGTGAATGGGTGAATGAATGTAGTGTAAAGCGCTTTGGTCAAGTCTCCTAACTTGAATAAAGGCGCTATATAAGTACATGCCATTTACCATTTACCATAAAGCTAACACCTTCAACCAACAGCAATTAAAGCTAATTTCTCTTGTGCTAACAGCAACTAAAGCTTACTATCTACAGCCAACAGTGACTAAACTTAACACTTCTTCAACCAATGACAATTAAAGCTAATGTATCCCCAGCTAACAGCAACTGAAGCTAACTCCTCCCCAGCCAACAGCAACTAAAGCTAACACCTCTTCAACCAACAGCAATTAAAGCTAATATCTCGCCAGCAAACAGCAACTCAAGCTAACTCCTTTTCAGACAAAGTTTTCTAAAGCTAACACCTCTTCAACCAACAGCAATTAAAGCTAATATCTCGCCAGCAAACAGCAACTCAAGCTAACTCCTTTTCAGACAAAGTTTTCTAAAGCTAACCCCTCTTCAGCCAACAGCAATTGAAGCTAATGCATCACCAGCTAACAGGAACTGAAGCTAACTCCTCTCTGGCCAACAGCGACTAAAGCTAACACCTCTTCAACCAACAGCAATTAAAGCTAATATCTCGCCAGTAAACAGCAACTCAAGCTAACTCCTTTTCAGACAAAGTTTTCTAAAGCTAACCCCTCTTCAACCAACAGCAATTAAAGCTAATATCTCGCCAGCAAACAGCAACTCAAGCTAACTCCTTTTCAGACAAAGTTTTCTAAAGCTAACCCCTCTTCAACCAACAGCAATTGAAGCTAATACATCACCAGCTAACAGGAACTGAAGCTAACTCCTCTCTGGCCAACAGCGACTAAAGCTAACACCAATTCATCCAACAGCAATTGAAGCTAACACCTCTCCAACCCACAGCAATTAAAGTTGCCAAAAAAGTACCAAAAAATAATTGTAAAATATATAATATTCTTTTTTTTAATACTTTGATAAAGTTTTGGATTTAGGTTGTCTTAAGGCTAATTTATACTTCTGACGCATAGCCCTTGAAACCATCATCTGTCAATCTGTCTCTGCGCACAGATAAAAAAAAATCCTGACTATACATCGGACGCTAGCAAACTTGCGCAGACCTCAAGCAGACGTGCGCAGACAAAAAACAGCTGTGATTGGTCCTTGGTATGCCTTTCCGGCTGTCTGTGTGGTCATCCTTCTTGATTCGGTGCCGGGTCAGGTCATTTTTAAAAACCGAGGAATAACAAGAATGGATTCTCTAGATCCATCTCTGTGACCGTGATATCTTCCAGATGCGCCATTGTTGTTTTGGAAAATAAACACTCAAGCCGGCGCTGCCAAAGAACTTCTTGTGACCATCCGCCGAAGTTCTCGCAAGTTCTAGAATAGGCTCCCCCTCACACTTTGACAGAAAACTGCTGTGCGTCCCTAGAAATTCTTGACCGACGTTACAGAAGCGTACCAGCAAAACTGGTTCGCGACCAGACTCAAGCAACATATGATGTGTGCAGTTGCAGAAGTGTAACCCGCCCTTTAGATGATATTTTAGCATACCTGTTTACTCAGTTCTTCCATGAGAACTTCTCCCTTACTCTGTCAAACTGAGGTTGCTCTGAATGTTGGTCAGTAAGGTACAGACCAAGAAGAGACTGCTTAAAAAACAAGGCGATCTGAAAACAAACCCTGTCGAGAGTTTCAGTGAGACTGGTACATTTCTCCAGCAGCACCCCTCGTGGTGACATTAAAGCTTCCTCTGACATTTGTTCAATATTAAAAAAAAAGTCATAGAGAAATGCTATGAGGGCTGCCTGATTCATCAATATCTTCATATAAGGATACATTGACCGGAGTCAAATGCGGCATAATTATCCAGTTTGGATTAAAAGCAGCAGACGATAGTTTCTTGGAGAAAAGGTGCCTCTAGTAAACTTTCTACTCATTAGAAGCTTTCACAGCTGCTATGGTGTTCTGAAGAATATTCCTAAAAGGTCACTGTTGATATTTGGACAGGGTTTGCCCTTTCACATGATCGGCAAGTGATCCATCTGAATAACAAATAGGCCCCTTTGTTCTGTAAACAGATGATGCCTCATTGACAAAGCAGTGCAGTCGTTGATGTTTCCTCTACAAATAAGTATGACAACTGATTAACTGAATATTATAAACTTAAAGTACACCTTTGAGTATTTTTTTTTAGTAGCAGTATTGTCATTTCATTCATAATTCTAAAAGATGCACTTTGATTGACATTATGTACTACCAGGAAGTTTTTACTCATCATTTTGTCCATATTTTAAGTTACTGATTTACAATTTAAACAATTTGTAATTTATTGTGCATGTCCCTAAACCTGCTGGACTGAGTAACCAGTTTGCATAGTAATGGCAGCATCATTCTATGGGATGGTTACAGTTTTCTATGCGAAACACTCTGTGTTTCACCTAAAGTCTGGATAGGAATCCAATTTATTATCTTACCAAAGACCTACAGACCCATTGATGTAACTGATCATGCTTGAGACGATCTAGAATAGAAGGACATACCCTAAAACAGGGAACCTTTTGGTTGTGATTGCTGCTAAAACAATTTGATCACACTTAAGGAATCCTTACAGTAGCTGTGAAATCTTATGTACTCGTGGTTCAAATATTAGATTTTTCTTCATAAATTTACAAAAATACCTGACACATGTTTACCCCTTGTCTTAAGGGCTAGTTTGTGTATTGTTAGCTGACCAGGTTCATTCATACCAGTCCGCCAGGATGCAACAAAGGCCAAATGGTAGAAACCATGTATTTCTATGTTTTAAGTTATATATTAGTTGTTTTTAAGATAATATACTAAAAGGCTATTTCTAACCAATAATAATTCCTCAGTACTTGTAGGGTTTTAGGACATTAACTCCAGCCCCTTCCAAAGTCAGGAATCAAACGCATTAAAAAAGTTTTTTCTGTCCTAAATTAATTCTTAAATACTTTGCATTTTAAATGGGAAATTAAATAACATGAGCAATTAACATAAAAATCTACCAAAAAAAACCCAAAAATGGTTTATGTAGAAATTGAAAAGAATAGGTCCTGATATGTAGCCCAGAGGAACTCCTTAAAGGGATCGATAAATAGTTGTAAAAGTAGAATTTATTTAAGAAATATTTATTTTTGATGTAAATACATTACAGTATAAATACTATAAGCTGTTTAGTTTTAATAAATATATAAAATATACTGTCACACTGACGTCACTGTTGTTTATGATGCAATGCATTCTGGGTAAAGGACCTATGCTAGGTTTTGTAGCATTAACCAAAATAGCATTGTTTCGCCCTTTTATTTGTCCGAACCTGTGCTGCGCCATGTTTATGGATTGTAAACGGAGTTGTTTCGGCTTGTTAGGTCAGACATGACTGGCGCGGTGTGTTGACGTCCGTACCTTGCGTTCAATGGTATCCTGTAAATTAGCGAGTCAACCTGGCACTGGTGTTCCCACAACATGCGATCAGTGTGCCGCTTGCCCCAGGTAGACACGCGTCAGTGAGCTCCTCCCAGTGCCACTAAAAGTAGTTTGTTCCCGTGTTTAAACAGGTTTTTCAGCCAGTGGGAAATGGTTATTTTCGGGTTATTTTAGATACTTGCATTGAGTCAAATCTAAAGGTTCAGTTAAGGGACACTGGAAGGTACTGAACTTAATGGTTAAAATCATACAATGTGGGTTCGTCGAGGAATTCTGAGACATCTTAATGAAATGGACTGGATTATTCATGATGACTCGTTTCTTTGTGTAATTGTATTTTTTTGCTGCAGGTCGCTCAGCATCTGGCCTCAACCTACGGCGGGAAAGCGTTCGACGTTGCCAAAATGGCAAAGGTTACAGGCCAGAGGTGGCCCATCGTTGGGAAACGTCTGGTGTCCGAGTTCCCCTACATCGAAGCAGAGGTAAAGCCGTCACCATCTGACGGGGAACCTTCCAGTTCAGCATCCAGGGACTCTCTAAGACCAGGTCCCTCATTCCAGGTGCTGTACGCGATCAAGGAGTACGCCTGCACCGCCATTGACGTCATCGCTCGGCGCACAAGGCTGGGCTTCCTGAACGTGCAGGCGGCGGACGAAGCGCTCCCCCGGATTGTCCACATCATGGGCAAAGAGCTGAACTGGAGTCAAGAGAAGAGGACGGTACGGGACACCTACCCTCCTCCTCTACTTAAAGAATGACTTTTTATTTAGTCTAAATGAAGTGATTGTGTTTATTAGTCTGGTTCTGTATCTGATGTGAAATCCAGGAGGAGCTGGAAGCAGCAAAGAAGTTTCTGTACCATGAGATGGGCTACAGGTCTCGATCGGAGCAGCTTACCAAGACATCAGAGATCAACCTGGACTACCAGGAAGTTGTCAAGTACTGTTCTTTTTCCTTCACCTTCTAAGTCCCACTTCTCATATTCCCCCTTCCTAAAAATTAGGATTTGTTTTATAGGTACAAGAACCGGTTCCATAAATTTGACAAAGAGTCCAAAGGCTTCATCACTACAGTTGATGTCCAGCGAGTCTTAGGGGTAAGTCCCTTTCTGCCGGTTTCCTCTCCTCCTCAATACGCACCATTGATCCCTCGTTCTCCCCCCCGTCTGCAGAGCATCAATGTTCACATCGACGAGAACGCACTCCATGAAATCCTTAACGAGGTGGACCTCAATAAGAACGGACAGGTGGAAATCGACGAGTTCCTGCAGGTAGGCTAACATATGACGGGAATAGTCTGGTTTCTAGCTCTGATGCCTTCAGGTGACTTTAGAAAAGTATATCCCATGTTTTTTACTTCAGCTGTACTTTCATTCACATGTTCTTCTGAGGGATTCAATAGGGATCGAAATTATCTACAAACTGTTAAAGTATAAAAAATATTGCATAGCAACAATATGGAGAAAGGCTGATTTTTATCCTTTTTTTTTTTTTTCTGAAGAACCATTTATGGCCTGATTACAACATATTTTACAACCGGTTATTTCATCCAAAAGATAACTGCTGCTTCGTTTACTACCACTAAAAAGGATGAATTACTGTTAAAAGCTACTTTTTAAAGTTAAATTTCAAAACAAAAATGTAAATAATCCACTTATTAATGTCCCTTTTTTAACAATATTTAATTTAAATCAGGCCAACAACCGATTTGAAATATAAATACAAGGATTGAACGTTAAAATTCTTAAACCGAGCCAGTAAGCGGTATGGGAAAAGGCTTCCTCTGCCGTTTGTCTCAAGTGCTCACTGATATTATTTTCACAGCATTTTTGCGTCCTTTTTATCACCATTTCTTTGTGACTTACTGACAAAATAACAGGGTACTAGAAACCCAGTTTTTATATAAAACTTCCTGGTATTTCATGTCAATGAGTTGATGCAATCAGCTGGTTTTCCTTAGATTGAAACTTTGAATCAATCAGACTGTATGATCTGGTTGAATTGTCTCTATAAAGTGTCTTGAGATGACGTGTCCTGAATTGGAGCCATATAAATAAACTGAATTTAATTGATATTTTAAAAGTTTTATTAAACCAAACTGTCCCACAGCCAGTGTTGGGAAAGTTCTCTTTCTACGTGAACTAGTTCAAAGTTCAGTTCACACATTTTAAAATGAACTAGTTCAGTTCATAGTTCATAATTCAAAACCAAAAAATGAACTAGTTCATAGTTCTTTTTTTTTTTTTTTTTCATATATTGCTCAATTACACCATAGCCTACTGTAGAACCACAGACAGCAATTATTTTATCAGTTGTAACTCTGAAACTGTGCGTCAGATTTCATCTTCATATCCAGTTTTGAATCCTTATCCAACCAGGGTTTACATTAGCATTTAGGGGACAGCATTTCCCCATTGTTGCTTTAACGCTTTGTTGCTGTCCATTCACTTCACACTAGTAGCAGCTGCAGCTTTCACCCCTACAGTATATTCTCAAAAACATCAGGAAAAATGTGCTGCTTGAATGGCCTTTTTTTATGAGTAATTATTAAAAGAAAAATAGGAAAGTAGTCTTTAAGGTGCAAATGTTTTTTTTTTTATTTTAATAATTTTTTCCATTTGAAATTCCATTTCAATACATACTAAAAAGGAATACTGGAATCCTGGAAAATTATACCAGGCAGGTTTAACAAACAAGTTACATGGATAGTAAAACCCTCAAGAACAGGGGTCTTCTTTTCCAGACCAAGGACCCCCAAACTGATGGCGAGATGGAGCGGGGACCCCCTAACTATATATATTGTATGAAATTGTGTTCTATAGTCACTCTATTACAGATGGAGTAATGTAAAGAAATTAATTTCTCCCTGGGATTATTAAAGTTTTTCTGATTCTGATTCTTGGTTGTTGTGAAGGAAACGGTGCCCAGCTTGAAAGAGCTCCTGTGTGTCGCTGAATGTGTGCATTGATGACTGAAAGACATCTTCTGCCTCCATTTATCTGTTTACTACAGTGTGTTGATTTCATGTTAATGATTATTTAAAGACATTTCAATTAGTGGGAAAAAAAAATTGCAGGGGGGGAATATAAAAATATCAACTAACCATGCAGACCCTCATGCAGTACCTCCGTAGACCCCCTAGGGGTCGCGGATCCCCTGTTGAAGACCTCCGCTCAAGAAGATTTTACGAACACAAACTGAGGGACCAGGCTGAGGTAGGAATTTAAGGTTACTGAAGTGCGGATTTATTTACTGAAAGCCGGCGGGCAAACTTGTTGCCATCATCCTCACCGACCACCTGGTCATAAAACTGTTTTAAGTGATCATACTGCTGCTTTGTCGCCTCCACGCTGCTGTGGCTTCCACACAGCATTTTGTTTTGATGACGCACGCGGCTGTAGGCTACGACACTGGTAGGTGGTGTTGCCAGATTGGGTGTTTTTCCCGCTACATATTAAGGCCTGTTTACGGTGTGATTTAGCCGGGGTTTCGCCTGGAGGACTCTATAGAAATCTGGCAACCTATTGAACGGAGCTGAACTGAGAGAGCGTGCCGTTCACAGACACCAGAATGAACGAGTTCACAATAACGTTCATCAGGCAATAATGCAGTACGTTCAGTTCACGTTCGCCCAAAATATGAACGAGTTCATGAACTTTCGCTCAATGAACGCGTTCAGGCACAACACTGCCCACAGCATCAACAGTGGGCACCTCGTGCTTTCCATTTCACTCTTTAGACCTCTAGATCAGTGGTTCCCAATGTAAGAAGTCCCAAGATGATCCGTGAGGTGTACGGAGGGCCAAAATAAAAATATTTATATGTTTACATCTCAAGAAATTAACAATACAACATGGAAAAAAGCCTGGATTTATCTAATATGTAATAAAATTATTATATATATTTAATCAAACTGTAAAAATACTGTGATTAATAAATAACTAAAAATACAATAAAATGATTGAGTAAGTAATTACATTGATTAATTAATTAATAACATAAAAATGACTATAATTATTTTACTTTATATCAGTGGTTCTTAATCCTTTCTTGGTGCCCCTTTTTGATTTTGAAGATCAAATACAGAAAAGCATATTGCACTGAAATAAACAAAAAAAATGTTATTAACAAAACTATTCAGATTTTTTAAGTTGTATGTATTTGTGTTACAAAAAAATGGAAATTGGCATCAATTTATATTGTTTTTATTAACTGCTCGCACTCTCCACCGTGGGAACTGGTAATTTATATGTACAAATTAGGAGTTATTAAAGTTTATTTAGGAGTCACAGGCTGAAATGATTCAGTTGATCATTTCACCAAAACAGTCCCACAGCATTATGGAATCTCCGCCGTACGTTATTAGGAGTAGTTTTGATTTCACAACTAGGAGCTTAGCTTTCACACAAAAGTCACTCATATATTTTCAGTTACAAAATGTATGTTTTAGGGAGTTGTTGACAGAGAAACAGCCCCACAGCATCATAGATCCTCTTCCATGCAATTCTTTTGTTTGTAGATGTTTGTATGAAAATCCCAACAGAGAAATTCATTTTATTTATGTTACTGATTAATTGGGATGAGGATTAGGGGGATATTGGTTTGTAATTTCTGATTTTTAAACGTTGGGATGTAAAGCTGGTCAGAGGAGTTGCTCATCCTGAAGGAACGCTAATTATTTCTACCAGAGGGACCTCTTAGCTTCAGGTTGACAGGCTAACCTTTTCCCCACCGTGTTTCTGCTCTTTTACCCCAAACGCAGCTGATGAGCGCCGTGAAGAAAGGACACGTGTCCGACAGCCGCCTGGCCATCCTCATGAAGACGGCCGAGGAGACGCTGGAGCAGAGAGGGCCGGTGACGGTGGACCGTAGCGGCGGTGGAGTCTGAGCCTCAGAGGCTGTATGCAAATGGTCGCATTTGAATCACAATAAGGCAATCAGACTCGCAGCGGGACGAGCTTGACCGAATCAGGGTGTGAGGGGTTGGGGGGGGTTGGATCTAATGATTGAAGTCAGGGAGATAATTCTTGTGCTTCTGAGGGCATAAAACGTTTCATCGCAGATTTCGAAACAAAAAAAACAACCTTTTTGACATTTTGCCGTTTCCAGAATCGCTCCATATTTTAGCGATCAGCACTGATTGTAGATTAGAAACATTTCAGATCAGCTTTCAGGCCTTTTTTTTTATTTTTGAAGCTGCAACAATTTCAATCAATCCAGATGTTTCCACCAGGAAATTAAAAGTTAACCCAACTACACATGTTTTATGATTAAAAGGGGAAATATTCACAATATTCAAAAGAAAAAACAGACGGATTTGTTTGGATGAATCCTTTGATGGATTAAAACTTGTTCTGGAGCTTTTTCTCTCTGCTGCTCTGTTGGAATTGATCAGAAACTAACACATAACAAATCCTCACTTATTTTGCCTTTAATGTAAATCATAAGCAAAATGCTGCAGATGTTAGGAGGTAAAGACTTTGTAACAAATGCAGGCTGGGTTTTGGAGGAGAGGAATTAAGGATTTTTAGATTTTCATTTTTTTTTTATCAATATAAATATTAAAGAAACGTTTCAGCCAAATATTATTGTTCTTTAAGGCAAATAAAGCTTTTACTAGGGTTTTTAGTGTTTATTCTATGTTTAACAGAGAAAGAAAACATGTTTTCTTGATGAAAAACACAATTCTTCACCGCCCTCTACAAGAAATTTGATAGATGACTAAAGAAGCTCAAATTAGATAATTTTGTCTCTTTGTTCAATTTTCTTTTTTTAAACTTCCTTATCAAAGAAAATAAAGATGCTTTCTTGCTTGGAGCTACAGAACAGAGCAGATAAACATCCATCGTTGCGTCGCCGGGTCTTGACCACCGTTTGACCCGGCGTACAAATTTTGGAATTTTTTATTTATTTTTTTTAATTCCCAAAACGCATTTTGGTTTGAACGCATCTTAAGGCCAAGCCTTAAGCCAGAAATCCTAACTTTCACAACAGAATCCTTATTTTTCCATAAATTTGTAATCTTTTTAAGTTTTTAACATTTTTATACGAACATCGAATATTTAAATAATAATCACAGCTGGTATTTCCCGATCCTTGCAGTGTTTAGCATTGCCATTTGTGTTTAATGTGGCTCCTACCTGCTAGCAAGTCGCTAATAAATAAATGATCTTAAACTCTCTTTAATGAAAAGCTGTTGTTCAAAAATGACGAGGCTGAGCTTTATAACTAGAAGCACATTTAAACTTTAAAAGTTCCTCAAGCACTCCTGATGCTCTAATTTACTTTTTGTACCTTTACCTGCTTATCCTGCCTAGAAGCTGCAGCCACTAAGGAAGTTTACAGGCTTTTCATATTTTTCTACTGATTATTTATTCTTTATTCGCACTACAGCTGCCTGTAGTTCACTGAGATTATATTTAAGTATAAAATATGAGGAATGGTGGAGGTTTTATTTTAAAGCAAAACGACTACTTTTAATAGTGGAAAGTATGAGCTAATATGGGGTTCCAAAAGTGTCAAGATTTTATTTAAAAAAAGCAAAACATAAACTATCTGAATGTCATCATTAGAAATAATAAATGTGTCTAAAAGGTTTGAAAACAAATAGTTTTAATATAAAACTGAAATAAACACATTAAATGTAATATATGAGTGAACATAAAGCTCCATTCAATGGTTTAAATATTTATTTCATTATTTTTATGGTTCATTCTATGCAAAAATAACTTCCACCGTCAGATCAACTGCACACATCTAAGGCTTCACTGGCCCCGCCCGCAATATAAATGTAAACATTGTTGCACATCTTTTTACAATAAATCAAATTGATTTATAAATTAGATATAAAATTTTAGTTAAAAAAAAGCATATTTTTGTAATATAATATATGTAGCTAACAAGTATACATTTAATATGAATGTTATTTTTTATTGATTTATATTTTCAGTGAAACGTGGCATGTTTGTACCCCCATATGAATGCCGTTAATTGTAACCATAAATGTTTTTTATTACTCTTTCTATTTGCATGCTTCTGGTCGAGAACAAAGATTCTGCATGTTGGCTGACGTCTTACTGCTTATGCAACTTTTTTGAAGTTGTAAAAATTGTTTGATGCTGTGATGAATGTATGCCATGTGCCTTCACTAATTTTTATTTTCCCACAAAGCGCACAAAGTCCAATGTTTGTATTTGATGATTTGTTAAATAAAAACATTTATGAACCAAATTGTGCTTTGATTTTTCGATCTTGGATATTTTACCTTCTAATTTCACTTGAAAGCGAAAAAAAAATATTATTTTGTGTTTTATTTTAAATAAGAAGAAATAAAAGTTCGTTTTTCTCACAAGAATAGAAGCGCACTCACACATTGTGGGCTAATAGAAAGTGGCTGAAAAACATCCTTTTCTCCAGAAAAGGTCACAGTGAGGTTTGAGTGACAGCTCTAAGTCCTCCGCTCTTGTTACAGTCCGCAGCAGAGACGTCTTCCTGGGGAAAAGGCTTGGAGCGCCGGGAAGCAATTAGCAGTCATAAATAAGGGGGAAAATCTGTGTCGGGCCACCAATAATATGGTTCAATGCTCCCTGGAGGATTCCCTCGTGGCCATGGCAGAGAGGCCTCGATAAAACTTTATATTTTCATTCATTATGGAATACTTTACAGATATAAACATAAAAAAAATTCTAATCCAATGAAATATGCAATTTCTGTAGCGTAAATAACAGTACAGTGATAAGTTAGACATCGCTACAAAATATAATCACTTATTTTTTTATTTTATCTCCACAAACACATTTCTCAGAGTGAAGCATGGTAGTGGCAGCATTGTGAAGAGGGAAAAAGGTAATTATTTTTCAATATCTTCAATATCTTAAGGTGATTTGCGCAGTGTCTTATAATGCATAGAAGATTACACAAGCTCGGTAAGATTCACTTTCTCCATTTAACTTAGGCCCGTACTTTAACTAGACCGTTCCAACCCATCAATATGCTTTAATTCCAACCGCTGGTTTTGGGTGTTGATTTTGCTGTAAGCCACACTATGTATTTTGCAAGTTCTTAATGTTTTTATGCATTTTTTTTATGTTGTTTGCTTTGTCTTTAGTGAAACCATGCGGCCCACATAATGATTCTGCCACCACCATGTTTCACCCTGCCACTTTTATTTACTAATTAGGTGCTTTCTAAAGCCAGTAGGTGGCAGTGGACTTTGTTTAGGACAATTAATGGTCACAAACAGAGATAATCATTAATTGTTAAGGGTTTTGACTTTATATTGATTTCTATATAAACATGGGCGGTTCTAGACAGGGGCCAAAGGGGGCCAGTGCCCCTGTAGATCATGTCCTAGCCCCTGTTATGGCCCCTGTACTGAAGACATAATACTCAAAGAAATTCTAGCAAATTCTGCAACAGACATGGTTACTGATAGGTCCTTTGGATCTATTTCATTTTTTTCCTTTACAAAATCTGTTTAATTATCCAAAAACAATAAGGTGATAGCTTCAGTGGAAATGAGGTAGGATCCCAGTTTTCATCTGCTAAATGTTTTTTCAAAACAGATAAAAAAAATTACTCACATTTTTACAGCTAAATTTATCAGTTTTTCTTGAGTTCTAATTCAGATTTTTACTTAAATTAAGTCAAAAATGTGTAAAATTCCTGAATTATGAATGTATATTGACCTAATAAGATAGAATTTTGATAAAACCTAATTGAATAGAAATGTCCCTACATGCAGCTCTCCTAATATATTTGAATCCCTTGCTCTGATTTTTATTTCATGCTTTTCTGGGCCCCCATAGAAATATGCGGGGCCCCTCCTGGCCCCTGGTACATTTTTGTCTAGAACCGCCACTGTATATATATATATATATATATATATATATATATATATATATATATATATATATATATATATATAAATACAATTCTATAATGATGATGTGCATTTTTACATCAATAAGTCTCTAATTATATAGAAATCAGTACAAGACAAAAAAGATTGTTGCTGGGTCCAGATTGACATGGGCGGGTTTTCCTCACCAAAGACACAATTCTATTGGTTTGTATGAACGTTAGCGACAACAAATGTGTTTTTACTGGGCTTAAAGTGCAGATAATGTGATGTCTAAAATGCAAATGGTCAAACTCAATATGGAAAATAGAAATCTGAAAATGTAAACTTGGTCAAATTTTTTTTTATAAAAAATAGATACAAAAAATATTATTTTTTTATTTATTTATTTAAATCAAAGTAATCAGCAAAATTAATGCAAAATCCTTTTTATCAAAGCTTCATTTCGGGTTGCATTTTTTTTCAATTTATAAAATGTTTTATTTACTTTCAACAATAATTGAACAACATTCATTCCATAGATTTGCTCTAAAGAGTATTTTTGCACCACAAAGTATAAACCAACAGCACTTTTAGACTTAGCAAACCACATTTTAGAAATTATTACTGCTACGTTCACACTGAACGTGATTTGAGCAGCTGAACCAGCAAATTTACATGAAAAGTCTAGAGTTGAAGCGTATCAAAAAAAGTCCTGCAGCCAATCTTGAAGCATCTGTACAAAGAAAATTGAGTGGTATGATCAGTTGTTGAAATAGTTTATTGATGCCTAAATTAACTTGAAATTACGGAAGAGAATTAGGGCCACTCAAAAAATAAAAAAAGTTAACTGATTTTTACATTTTATTTCAGTTTAATATGGGAAAAAAATCTGAATTCTGACTTTTTTCTCAGAATTCTGATTTTTTTCTCAGAATTCTGACTTTAATCTCAGATCTGACTTTTTTCTCAGAATTCTCACTTTAACTCAGAATTCTGACTTTTTTCGCAGAATTCTGATTTTATTCTCAAAATTCTGACTTTAATCTCAGAATTCTGACTTTTGAAGAATTCAGTGTGATTGCAGCATTAATGTAAAATTAGATGATGCATAGAAATAGGTGCCTGTAAACACTGCCAGATGAGTTTAAAGTAATGGTGTAAAGGATCTGATTATCAAGCTGTTTATTGTCGGGTTTTATATTATATGCAGAAATAGAGGGGCCCAGCAAGGACATTTTGCTCAGGGCTCCATGGAAGTTTTGGCCAGCCCTGTTCCCAAAGAGTCGTGTGTATTTGATCTCCATACGAATGTCACATTTACTGCTAAAAGCTGTATTTAAGATCTGTTTTCTGCATGTAGATTTTTGTAGGTGTCAGTAAAGCCTCATGACTCTTTCTAACCGGTGTCCTCCACAGACCAGCAGCTGGAGAGCCTGAGCAGTTAATTGGAAAAGCAGGAGTGGGAGTCAAAAACCATTCAGATGTTTTTTTTCACAAACAGGTCGTTGCAAAAATAATGATGAGTTTTAATTAGAAGTGTGAATAAGAGCGCTGGGACCAGGCAGACAGCTCCGGTTCCTTTCAGCCAATAATTATGGTAAATAAGATGATAATTAACTGACGGCTCTCATCGAGCTGGAAGGAGATGTTCAAATATTGATCTGGAAGTGGAACGGTCTCACGGGTTTTATCAGCGGCCGGTGTTAGCTTGTTATTGGACTGATTAAAAGTCAGGAATGTATTGAAAGCCTGGAAGAATGATGATTACCACTGGCATCCCAGTTTCTGGGTGGGAATAATAGTTCAGACCTTTCTGGCCCACTCTGGTGGAACAAAAACGGCATTCTTCCAGATGTCCTGACATTTACCTGAGTCATTCACGGCCTTTGATCCACACAGGAAGCTCTTTTCAGCCACAGTTCTTTGGACACCTGTCAATCAAACAACACTTCAACAGGCAGCTTCAATAAAAGAAAGACAAAAAATGGACTATTTATCCCAAAATATTTCCAGATTATTTTATTATCATACATTTTAGCTGATTTGAAACGCACTCTTGGTTTACCGTGGTTCTGCTGCCTGGTAACCAGGCTTCCTTTCCACAAAAAGGTCGGTTCAGTGAGTCACTCAAATGTCCTCGGTTTTGCAGCGAGGCGTGACTCAGAATACACAACAAAAACGGCTCAGTCTTTAGAAAGCTGTTTGAATCTCGGGTTAGGCAGAAAAATGAGGATTTTTACTCTCTGAGGCTAAATAAGTCTGCTTCATAACTAATATGAAGAAAAAATAAATAGATAAAACTACTCTGAAACACTTTTTGTTAGCACTCTATGTCTATTTCCAGGAATGTCCATGCTTAATATATAGATGCTCCCCAAAATCAGATTTTGATACTCAATGACATAGCTTACTATCCATATGCAGATGAGACACAGCTATATATTACTGTGTCACCAGCTGACTATGAACCCTTTCAAGCTTTGGGTAAAGAGATCAAAGATGGGACAAAGTGTTCTTCAGCTCAATCAAAATAAAAATGAGCATATAGCTTAAATTAATCCAGCTAGAAACCCCCAATCTGGCTCTAAATTTGGGTATAGTCATTGACCTTCAGAAGCTCCTTAATACAGAAGCAAAGTCAACCTTCTATCACCTAAAAAAACATCTCCAACATCAAAAGACTAATGTCACAGCAAGACCTGAAAAATATTGTAACTCCAACCATTAGATGCAGCAGCATCTTCACAGGTTTGGAGCTGATCCAGAATACTACTGCCGGCGTCCTCACTGAAGCTAAGAAAGTAGAGCAAATCACCCCAGTTCTAATCTCTTTCCCCTGGCTCTCCATATCTCATAAAATTGATATTATAACAGTTTTGTCAGTTTCTTAGCTCCAAAATACATTTCAGACTCATTGTCAGTGGATCAACAGCACTTTACTTTGCTTAGCACAGTGCAATTGTTTCAGAGCGCAGGGGTGAGCGTTCTGCGTCCGGTCTTATAGAGCCAAGTACCTTCCAACAGGGGTTTTAAAAAGAGGAAGTAGGAATTTGGAATCCAAGAGATTAATACAGTATCGGTGTTCCGCAAAGAAGGAGCTAAAGTTAGCAAGTTAATAGAGGCAGGAGTAAATACTGCCAAATACTGGTGTAAAACTGTTTATGTCCGCTTTTAAGGTCAGCTCTTGGTGCATAATGGTCCTTTTTTAACGCCAATATCTGGTTTTGGGTATTTTTCAGTTTTTTAGCGGAGGAGTTTAAGTATCTTGGGGTGTTGTTCACGAATGAGGGTAAGATGGAGCGGGAGATCGATAGGCGGATTGGTGTGGCGTCTGCTCTGAAGCGTGCGCTGTACCGGTCTGTTGTGGTGAAGAGAGAACTAAGAAAAA